TCTACTTGCTTTAGGTGGATGTTTCTGCCAGGCCTGCCGTATGGGTGGTGTTTGCATGTTTGTGCCAAACAAGATCAAAAAGGCGGTTGACTGAGTTCCAGATTTGGATTGTTCATAGCTCCGCTTGGATACAAATCACAGAGAAGCTAAAATGAGTTATTCTTGTTCCCCCCCCCCTTATTCAAATCCTTTATTTGGCAGGTTGGACGATTCTGAGATTAACAAAATGCACACCCAATCAATAATCAGAGATCCGTGCTGACTGGCTGTTAGCTGGGACCTCTGTGCTGTAAGCCTGTGTGTGGAATCAACCGCATATTAGAGAGAGAGTGAATTAACACATGAACAGTTACACCACCCTCTTTGACACACACAGAGTATCACTGTATCACAGAGGTCCCAGATAAAGATAGATATATATTGTATCCTTTATTTCATAATTTGCCTGTCCACACAGACAATCTCATTCACTCATTTTACGTAATTTAATTGTACACACCAAACAAACTGGATTTGGAACGCCGCAAGAATTAGTTTGAGTTATGCAACCAAAAACTGATTAACTTTGATAGCACACAAAAGCCCAGCACGGAACATGTTGTTCCGTCCTGTTGTGCTAAAGTATGAATTCTGTACAAAACCATTTCCAACTGGTTATTGCCATTAAAAGAAGAAATTACACGTTTTCAGCGCCGCAGCTGTTCTCCCGCCAAATAGTGGCAAATTATATGTGATTAGAAACTCAAAAAACATCAAACTTATAAGAGTTAATACAGAAAAATAAAAAATGTGGAAATGAAAATCCTATAAGCAGGAGAAACTGTGAGATACTGTTGGCCAGGAGAGCAAAGTGAGGCATGTCTTCAAAGTATTTTGTTCATCCATCAGTTGAGTATGCATTGATTGCTTAAAGAAATGCATGATTTAAAGCACTTTTTTTCCTGCTTCCTTAACAGACAATTTCAAAGGACAATTTTGATATTGATTTATTATAAAACAAATCCAAAGACCACTGTGGTACTAAGACAGTCAAGTCAGTTACACCTCAATTATTTTCCTGTCACAAAGGATGCTTTGTGTATGTTATAGTAAAGATTGTAGAGCAAGTACTGACATACTTTCTATTACAATTTAAAGAATTTGAGAAGCTCTGATGTTTGATCTAAACCCCTCTCAAGTGAAATGAAACGAAATATGTATAATCAAGACTGCACATGTAGACTTCCACGGACAACTTGAGAATTTGCCAGAGATGGTAATTAACATAACAAAAATCAGAATTTGCCTTTGCATAATCTTTACCCCAACCCTGAACTCTCACTTGCGCTCACAAATAATTCAAAATGCATTTCATGTTGTGCAGTCTGGATTTGTGTTCCTACAAAGAGGACATTTCTCTATAATGTTACTTGAGTCTCCGAAAAAGTAATCCCTGCACTACACACACATGAAGACACACACACACATACGCCCAATAACATAGGCAAGGCAAGGCAAATTTTACAGCTAATTTAGGCCATTACAGTAGTCCAACCTCCTAGAGACAAACCTATGGATTAGTCTTTCTATGTCTGGTTTAGACTCCATTCATCTGATTCTGGCAATGTTTTTGAAATGGTAAAAGGCTGCATACGTTATTGATTTAATGTGGCTGTTAAAGTTCAGTCCAGTATCACCCCAAGATTCTTGACCTGATTTTCTAGGTTCCAGAGAGTGTCTGAAGGTGACTGATGACACTTAAGTAAACACACACGTGTGTGAAAGATGCAGGACAAAAAACACATTTGCACATGCAGGGCTGTGTTGAGGGCGTGAGCGTGTTAAGCGGGAATGCACCCCCTGACCTGTAGTACAGAAAATTCTGCTTCCTATACAGAGCTGTCAGGTAGCGCTTGCTGGGCCATCATAGATGGGATGTTTGAACGTTTCCTCTCTTCCCTGGTGATGTATTCTTTATTCAATTCCTCTCTGGTGTGTTCACTGAAAGGCACATATTTTTCATTTGAAATCCAATTTAGCTGGTCTTTGTGGTGAATGCTTCCAGCTTGAAAGTGCTTGTCAGGTACATAGAAGGAAAAGCTCAGGAGATAGTCAACTGAAGTGTAAAAGCTAACATGGATGCGTGTATGTGTGCGTGTCTTTCTTTGCGTTTATTGTGTTGGTAAGTGCTCATATAAAGAAACATAGGTGTACCCCTATAAGAAACTTCACCCTCCTTACATTTTACCAGTTGTCAAACTGCATTCATCCTTCTTTCTATAGCAAATGGTTTAGTCAATTTGGTTTCTCAGAGTATGCAAAGATACACGCAGAGATCCAAAAACATTATGCACTCCTCTGACTTTGGTCTGAAGTGCACACCCATGTTCAGTTCTTTTTTCAGTCTACTTCTTGTTGCAAACTGCAGCCAAAGATGTCACGCAGTGAGGAGCATCAGAATTAAAGGGAATTCAGATCTCAGCCTAAGCAGCACTTTGCTCATTCTGTTGAGGCACAGTAAAGATCAGTAAACACAGTGCACATGGAGAACTAGTGTACATTTTTTCTCCAAATTCTAAAACTGTCAATATCAGTGGGATAGAAAAAAGGAATTCGGAGGACAATAAGTCTAAGCTCAAAATATGAAATTTCAATTTCAATGTGAAATATTTCATATCTATGTCTTTTAAAATACTTTTTTATTCATGGATGAATTTTCACAAACAACTTTAGTAGTACTTGAAGTTGCATAATCTTTCAGTCAGTGGGATATTAAAGAGTTATGAGATATATAACTAAAAGAAAAACACTATATATTATCTGTAGGGCTTTATTTGTGATTAACACGTATATTTGTAACAAAAAAAAGTAAGATGGAAAGAAGTAGTGTAAATCGATTGAATGTGAAAAAGAATATATTATGAAGGAAAAATAAATCTTTTGGTATCTGGCAGTTATATGTAGGTTAGTCAGGCAGGTAGAAGCTCTTAAGGGGATGTGTTTCATTCCTCTACGATTCAAACAGAATGAGGCAGAGGGACCCAGAGAAGGGAGTGTTTTATGGAGGAAGATAAAAATGAAAGAGAGATGGGATATAAACTGATAGACATTGAAAACAGGCTATTGAACCCCCTTGGAATTAAATATGTTACAATCAGTACACAAACACACACGAGTGTATTCTGAGATCACAGAATGATGTAGCCTAGGTAATGTAGCTGAAGTTTCCTAAAACAGATTGTTGGAAAATGGAATGAGGAAGAGAAGTAATTGTACGTACTCTGAAGTCATAGACATTCAAGTAATAGTAAATGATCATAGGTAAGATCAGGGAGTTTGTGCTTAAAGTTGTTTTGTAATTCCAATCCCTTTTGCCAAACTGGGGGATGTTAATAACAGAGTAACTTAGACTTCACTTAGAGCATTAGAGCATTGCTCCACGTTTGATTTATCATTTGGAAGCAGTTTGAGTGGCTGTTAATACAAACAAATAAATAAATAAATAAATGTATTATTTTAAATGTTGCCCGAAACAGCTGAAAATAGGTTTTATTCATGAATTTCACATTTTGTTGGACACAATGTGATTCTATAGACGAGCAAATTTGGATGTTAAACATTTGCATTCTCCTAAAAAACAGGATAATCACTGTCAAAACAAAATCAGTCTATACTGGATGAATTAATATGATAAATGCCTTCTTTAAAATCAGGGAAGCAAAGCTTGACCCTTCTCTCCATAGAGACAGTGGAAGTGGTTCATAGCTCCCTCAAGTGGTATTTGAGTAACTGACATCAAAAGTGACCTATGTTCTGTGGTGATGTGTGCCATGCTTGGGCATATGCAAACAGGCATTCTTATTTGCACCATCAAAGGAGTCTCTCGCACAAAACTGAATCATGCTCGTTGAACTAGGTCTAATGTGACAATAAATCCTTCAGCAAATGACTCAGACTGCGTGTGAAAGGCTGAAAGCTTGTTATCAGCCTCTCAACTTAAAGGGTGGATTAAAAGAGGATTCCATTACTCTTCTGTCCTCTTAATAATTGCAAACAAATCCAATCCCAGTAGCTACAGAACACATGATTATATGAGCATCGCTTCAAGTTTCAAGACTAAAAAAAATTTAAAAAAATTTCAACCACTTTCATGTTAAATATGTAGACTTGTTTGTTTTTCTCCTTTGAAGTGGAAGTGTGTTGGTCTCCTTTTGCCCCCTCTCTCTTTTTGCTGGTATCACCTCTCGTTTCCTCATGCTTTTCCTCCTACATTGTGCTCTACTTGTTTCTGATCACCAATGTACACCTTCTCCTCTTAGTATCTTAGTTTTGGTCGTCTTCTCCTTATGTTTCTTATTTTTCAAATCCCTCTCTATGGACCATCTTACCCCCATATTATCCACACATCTCTGTCCCCAGTTAACTAAATTAACACCTTTAATCCATACCTCAGTTCTTTCTCTCTTCATCTTTAAGTGTGACTCAGACGTTTAACCATTCACATTACCCACGGTTTTAAATTTCAGCTCCTCCTCCTCCTTTAAGATATGCGTCATGAATGATGGTTCTACCTTGTTCTCATGGAAACACCATTCAAATCTCAGCATTATTGAAAAAGGATGTTAGGAACCCTGTAAAAATAATTAACAGCCTTATTAACTTTTAGGAGTTTCTGCTTCTATTATGAAGCTCCCTCTCTTTTTATATATCTATTTCTAGGAAAAGTATCTTATAATTCAGGCTGGGAGGCTTTTAGAAAGTTTAATTTGAAATTCAACCTATAGAGAGTGTGTTTTGCATCTGAAAGATGACCTGATGGGAATGTGGACTACCTTTAACAAAAAGTTCTCTGTCTCTGCTACCATAACGTTGCTCTATTAGATTTATCACTTTTGTCATCGCTTATTGCTGCTTTTATATTAGCATCTTCTCCGCTAATGCTCTATTGGCTCCTTCCACATGTTCACTGAAGGAAAATATCTAATATTTTTTGGTTCCTTTCTTTCTGTCCCCTCCAGCAGCCCCGAGTACAGATGATGTGGCTCTCTACGTGGGCATCGTCATCGCGGTGATCATGTGCCTGGTCATCTCTGTCATCGTGGCTCTCTTTGTGTATCGCAAGACACATCGTGACTTTGATTCTGACATCATCGACACCTCAGCGCTAAATGGAGGCTTCCAGTCTGTTAATATCAAAACGGCCAGATCAGGTAATGAATGTTTCATAGTTCGACCAGTGATGCTGTGTGTGAATTAGTAGCTGGACTGCATGGCTTTCTTTTTTATAGAACACATGCAACAGAATGCAGTCTTGAGTTTACTCAGGAGGACAAATGTTTGTAATTCAGGAGTCCATAAGCTGTTGCCTCTGGGCAACTCACTGCCTCTGAAGTTGGAAGATGATTAAAACTGGTGTAAGACAAGTATCATGTTTCTGATATGTTGCACATGTCTGATCCAGATACACGTTGGTGTCACAGCAAATCAAAATGCCTGTAAAGGACTTGCAATGGTGATATAAATCCTGTTGTCATCAGTCACATATGTTGGATGTCCAAGTGCTTGACACTGATTGATACGTGTCTAGTTGTGTGTCTGATGTAATTCCAACAGTGTTTGAGTCAGTGGGGAAAAGCAAATGAACAGATGGCTGTCAGTGTTGGCTACAGTTTGAAAAAGACATAAATCACACATTTAAATACACATATTTGATATAGAATGACAAAATTGTGTTCATCTGATGGTTTCCAGAGGTTTCTTTATTCTCATTTTACATTGCTCTCATATTCTTGGTCCTTTATCCTGTTCCACTAACCCCGGATTGGTGATCACCTTTTGTGATACTGTTGATTAATGAGATTTAAAAAGTCAAACGGTTTAACCCTAATGATTTATCTCCCCAAGGGCCCTTAAACTTATCCAGCAGTGTGCTCAGGATAAACACTTCACATGCTTGCTTCTTGTCTGAATAAAATCTACAGATTCACTTTCTCTCTGCACATCAGTGAGATAGATAAAAAGATATCCAGCTTTACACATATACACAGAGTAACGGCTACCATGTCTCTATGTGAATAACCTTACCTGCATCATCCACTTAAACGCATTTATGCTAGTGCCGTTTTTTTTCTTTCTTAAATGGTGGGCTCTCAATTTTCTGATGTTTTGGATTAATCGCTCTCTTCCAGAAACTACTATTCTCCATCAAGGAGGTTCCCTCTGTCACTCCCCCTCAGTCTCTCATGTTTTCTTCCTCTACCCTCCCCTCTGCACACTAAGGGCAATCAAAATTCCTGTTTATCAGCATCCTCCTCTCTCCACCCTGCCCCCTCTGCGCCTCTGTCTTCACGCAGTCTCTCCTATCCAGCGACAGCAGACTCCCTTAGTGTTTGTCTGTCTGTTAAATTAGAGCCGTATATTACCCTCTGCTGTGTGTGCTGTCATTTGTTTCTCTCCACAAACGTCCACACAAACCCAAAGCACCAGTAAAGAAGTTTGTGAACCTTAAAACTACAGGCCGCTAACTCATTTTGAAGTACAACATCCGCTATTATGCACATTAGCACTCTTGAATCTTTCCTGGGTTGCCCACGGGCTGAAATACAGTACATCACTTCATAGTTTTGGTTTCCGGTTCTGTTAAGCGCTTTGTTTTACTGTACCATGGAAAACATCAGCAACTACATGGAAATACACTTTCGCCACAGTTGCCATTGCAAATTAAGTTGGGTGAAAAAGGCACAGCTTTCATGCTAAGTACTTTCCAAAAAGATCCTGTGGCTGATACATCAACAACGAGACTATGGAGATGCTTTTAGAGGAAATCAAGAGATGACAAATTGTACAAGTATCTGATGCAAGTAAATAAACATCAGGTATAATTTTACTCCAGACAGAGTTCAGAAGAAAAGTATTGCAAAGTATTTTGACAGATTGAGGGTGAGTTTTAGCTATTAGTAAGTAATAACTGATGAGTTGCCTTGTGCTGTGTCATTTGATTTGTTTAGTCAGTGAAGTTTCCAGCGTGTAAGATTAAGTCCAAAATTGAAAAACAGAACTTTCTAACTGTATTACAAATAAGCTAAGTTTATCCCTTAGATTGTTCCAAAGTAGCCATGTAATTGTGTTAAATGCAGCATGTTAATTGACATTGTCTTGCATAAATAGTTGAGGCTTTCTTTAAAAGAAATGCCACCTTATGTTGCTTCAGAACGTTTGTATATTGTTGAGTGTGATAAATGTCTTTATAGATTCTACTAAGCTACCCTTGCCCTATGATCCATTTGAATTCAATTCTCTAAAAGAATGACCATTAATTAAAAAGGAAAAGCTTTTCCTACTGTCAAAACTTGACATGTAATCTAGTTTTTTTTTTTTGTAAATCATATAAGTTATTTTTCTTCAGGTCTTTAATAGATATAAATTTATCTTATTTAATCCATCCATCCATTATCGTAACCGCCTATTCCCTAATGGGGTCGTAGGGGGACTGGAGCTTAAGCCAGTAGTCAATGGGCGAGAGGCGGGGTACACCCTGGACGGTTATCTTGTTTCAGTTTGATCATAAATACAATGGGAGAACTTTAACAGAGGGCACATCTACTGACATAGATCACGTCTGTCCAGCTTGGTTTTGTTTTTACTTCATTTAGACATTTTCTGATATTCCAACTGCTATTCTGTGAGAACTACAACCCCTTTGGGGTCTGTGTATATGTGTTGGTGGAAGATTAAAATTCAAATAAATTATACATTAAAACACCAGGAGGTGCAGTCACAGGAGGTGCAATGCAAATTGATAAACAGCAAGCTGTAAATAATCTTTAGTATTCCAACATAATTATGTTTGCATGTGTAGACACGTGTTGACATGTTATCTGTAAATTGTAAAGATGCTTGTCACTCTGTACCAAGGGGCTACCTCTGATTACTACTAATGGAGAATTATGTCCTTCCGTTTTTCTGCCTGCCTCTTTCTCTCTATAGTTTTCAGTTACTTGTTAATTAAATTTCAGCAGGGATGATTTGGCAAGAATACCTGCTGGCTTTAAGGGTAAACAGCATGGTGATAGAGAAAGGAAAGGAGTGAGAGTTGACAGGTGTGCCTGTGTGTGTGTGGGAAAGAGGGGGAGATAATGAGCTATTTTAAAATTAGAATAGATTGTCTCTCAGAGAGAGAGTTAGTGAGCTGCACGACTTCAAGCTCTAACCCCTGCCTCCACCCCGCCCCCAAAAAGTGAGTTCAATCCTTCACTTTACTCAGTAAGTAAATGGCCCTTGTGTGATCAAATTAATCAGCTTGAAAATTCACTAAGTGATGTTGATTTTAATTATGGGCCAACTTTCCTCCTCAGACAGTATTCATTCCGATATGTAAAGTGTGGCATAATGAATGTACAAATAGGAGGTTTTATTTTTGCCGTTTGGTTATTAAAGTAGGGAAAATCATTCGCGCACACCCGATAGATTAAAGTTAAGTTTAATGTTTTCTCAACCATTGCATTAACTTAAAAATACTCTCTCTCTCTCTGTTTCTTCCAGCTGATTTACTTACAGCCGCCCCTGACTTAACGAATGCCGCCGCCATGTATCGTGGTCCGGTTTATGCCCTGCACGACGTGTCGGATAAAATTCCAATGACCAACTCTCCTCTCTTGGATCCTCTTCCTAACTTGAAGATCAAAGTGTACAACTCATCTGGTCTCGTCACACCACAGGACGACCTCGGTGGAGATTTCACATCAAAATTGTCTCCCAAGGTAATGTTGTGTATAATCTCCATTTAATGTTTAATGCAATCTATAATATTTATTGTTAACAATGTGGGAAACTCTCATAAATCTGTAAGAACACAAAGAAAAGCTAAAGCATGCAGCTATTCCCAGTCAAACATAAGCACATTTAGTGTTATACATGCAGCTCAGTTTCCTCCCTCTGCTCTGTTAACTACATGACATAAATACCAGAGCCAGTTGTCACAAACACAAATAAAACCCTTCGGTTTCATCACATTTCCAGTCCTGAGGCGATACAAATGCTGAACTCCCCATTGTGGAGCTCCGCAGATCTGTGGCACCATTTCATGATTAAAGCTATTTTTTAAATGTTTTTTAAATTGTCAGTCTTTTGAAAAGCTCCACTGTGTCAAATGACCGAATCCCAAATTTGATGATTCATTTTTTGTCATAAGCACAGTAAGGTAGTGTTGATCTGTGTGGAACCAGATGAAAATGACTGAGCAGTATGTCGTATTATTTACATTTCACAGCAGATAGTTTTAGTGCAACACTATAATCAGAAAATGTTTAACTATTGTTTTAATATAGTTATGAACCTAACATGGATCCACCGTCATTTCAAAGTTGGCCTGTTCTGCATCAGAATCAGACACGGGGCATATGTACTCTTTAGCATATTCGTAAATGTTTAAAATGATTAAAAAATTGAAAAACAATGTTTTTAATAAGTACAGTCAAATTTGACTCTTGTCCTTTTATTTTACTAGATTACTCAGTCGCTGTTGGAAAACAGTGACACAATGAATCTTCGCAACCAGAGTTTCGCCCGGACTCGAGATCCTTCATGTACTGCTCATGGATCTTTCAACAGTCAGGGAGGACACCTCATCGTGCCTAATTCTGGTAAAAGCATCGCACATCTACAGATTCCCACTTTCTATTTTCAGTTGAGGCTGTTAAACCTTGAAGGTGCTGAACACTTTCTTCCATAATGATTTAAAACGTACAAAGCTGCTGCTTTTGTGTCTGAATGAAAATAACTACACAAAAATGAACTGCTACTAATTGGGAAAAAATACATCAAAGTTAGGATTTTTCAACCAGAATTTCAATTTGAAAAGATAAGAAAAAGAACATAAATCAAATAAAGAAACTAAGCACGCTTTTTAATCTGGTTTTAAAAGAGGTGTTTATAATTAGAACCTGCTCAAGGCTCGATGTGTAAAATGTTCTTCTTTACACCTCTTATAGTCTCCAAAGACATCTAATTATTATTGGTGTTAAAGTATGTGGTATCATCATGCCACAACATAATGAAACTTTAGGATCGTAAAACAAAATATGGAGGAAATCTGACAGACTGTTTGAAATATGTACAAACAAATTGTGTGATTACAGTCACACAACAGATTTTCTTGCTAAACATAGTTCAGAAGCTACCAGTTTTTCTTTGAATATCAATGAACTAAGTCAAACTACTTTGAATCCCCTGAGTGAGAAATTGCAAATAATTGATATGCATGCGAGACAACTTTAAAAAACAACCTTAAATATAGAGAATTTCTTAAGGGTTAAAAAGGCAATTCCACAAACTCTACTGATGAAATTATAAGTTTACCAATCTCTCAGTGGTGCCCGAGACAGTGTGAGACCATCTGTCTCACACTGCCCTGTTTCTTTATTTATTTATTGAAAAAGGCTACTTAGAATGGGAAAAACAAACTTAAAAATGAGAACGTTTTTTTTCCTTATCTTCACGTAAAAAAAATCAAAGGATTGCTGGCACTGAAAGGCATTCTTTACACGATGATGCTATTTTTCAAAGTTTAAGCATGATGATGAAGTGATAATGAGTTGAACATTCAATGATTCAGCTGTGCCTGATGAGGTTGAAACTCAATATTTCTGCCTCAATCCTCTCTGCAGGTGTGAGCTTGTTGGTTCCAGCAGGTGCTGTCCCCCAGGGTCGGGTGTATGAGATGTATGTGACTGTGCACAGGAAGGACAGCTTGAGGTGAGTTCCATCTCTCTCTCCACACAATCTCTCATCTCTGGCTTCTTAATTTTCTTTTGTTCACTGTCATCTCCATTTTTTTTTCTCCTCATCTCTGCTTGTCATTCGGTTTGTTTTGTTTTCCGTGTCCTTCTGTCATTGCTTCTCGGTCTTCTCCCATTGCAGTGTTTCCAATTGTTTCTCTGATTGTGATGGGATTTTGCTGCCTTTTTCATGAAGTACAGTCTTGTGAGTTGTATATGATCAGTCAGCTGAATTTATCCACACACATCCTCTTTTGATTTGCAGCTGAGGTCAGTTGGTAGCACAAATCATTCACTAATACTAGAATTACTTTTAAATTCAGCAGATTCAAACAGAATATCTGACATAGTCATACCTGTCTAATTAGCATAATAATGTGTCCTGTGATCCAGCAACTGATTCGCATTAGAATCTGTTTTCATACTGTTCAAAGGAGGTTCTATTGCCCAGTAGTATTTAAGAACTTCTAAATGTGTGGAACTGATATTGACTATACTATAGTGGTTTGCTACATGACAAGTTTTAGAGTAAAAGCACACATTTTTGATTTTCTGATAGCATTTGAAAGAAATTGCTGTTTGCACAATATCTAACAGATTATCGGACAATTTGGAGGTTACTTTAATCCTATTACTTTTGCCATAATCCTTTGGTACTAAACTGTGCACATGTGGGAGGTAGAAATCTGTGTCAGACACAAAAAAACAAGGGACAACATTATTTATTAAACTGGTTTATAGAGGTGATCTTTTAGATTGACGGAAAATACTCGTTAGTTCTGCTAATTCCACTTAGGTTCATTGAACAATTGAGCAACAGCATCTTCATTACTCAGGGTCAATGAGAAAAACTCAGTAATATTAAAGTTTGTGTGACTTTAAAACTTCTCATGAACTTAAAATAATACAAGAGAGGCTTATTGAACCATTTGTTCTGTGTCACATCCATTCAGAATTCTTCAAATCAATGCCAGCTGATAAGAATTACAGTCCTGCTGCTTTTTAGACAGTTTCTCAGTCAAATATCTCTGTTTTCTGTCTTCTTACCACGCAAAAAATGGCAAATGGGATTTAGCATGATACGTGTATGCACCCTAGCTACTCCTTGCAAGCCGGAGTCAAACGCTAAGTTCCGATCTGCTTGGTGTCAGCGTGTCTGTGTGCAAAGACAGGCAGATTATTTTCTCCATATCTGTGATGGAAAATGCATAACATCATGAATCAGTAAAACTTTAAATCATCCAAGTGTGACCGCTGCAGTCAGGAAGCCAAAAGGTGCTGTAGTTTCTCTTGAAAGCATTACATGTGTCAAGAATAAGCTTGTGCAGCTGAATAGATAACATGTTAAGGATAACTACCCCCTGGATGCAAGAAGGGAACAGGGAAAAGAAGACCTTTAAGACTATCAACTCTACCAGTGCATCTTCCAAATGAAATGTTATATTCTGAAGCACAAAGAGTCATTTAAATTTTCATTAATGTTTCCAGTAATATTACGATTTAAGTTATGGTTTTGGTTTTCAGATCAACTAGTGAAAGAAAGCCACTAAATATCCTTCCGTCCATCCATCTCACCGTAGGGCACCATAGAATAGTCTGTTGCTGCAGTGTAACATTTAGTTCGGAGTTGTTTGAGCTTCCAATGCCCAGATGTACCATAAAAAGAAAGACAGTCTGTGATCAGTTTTGTTCTGCCAGTGAGCTGAAAACTACCGACTCTGGCTGGGTCGGAGGAAACTAATCACTCTCTTGCTGAATTTATGCTCCTGTGGTCTATTTTCTTCTTAAATTTCTTCATTTATGCAGAAGTCATTTTCAACATAACATTCCTGCAATAACAGTTAATCTATTTAACGATGGACATTGATGTTTGCAGTCATGTTTCATCAAGGGACATCTACTAAATTCTGGAGAAATGTTATGTTTTATGTTGATGCTGCTAATTGTGCTCACTGTTTAGAATAACTATTTAAAAACTGGGCTCTCCACCGCGATGAAGGTGGGCAGGAAGCAGTGCTCATTCTTATTAAAAGACTCCAGGCTGTTTCACAGCAAAGTTACACAACTAAATCCTTTTTTCAGACACAACCAATAATAACAATCTCTCTTTTGCACAGCTCTTCACAACTGAGTTTGTCACAGAGGTAGATGTCATTGGAAGTATACAATCTCCAAAAGAAGCCATTTTTTGTAGTTCAGATAATAAAAAAAAACAAAAACAATTTCCTCTCTGGGATAAGTAACGTATTTCGGATCCTGATATGCGCACACACAGCACTTACTGATTCCACTCATAACTAGAGTTTTATTGTCCTCAAACCTGCACACTTTTTCCAAATGCTGAGGTTATTGCAAAATATTGACAGAGAAATACATCACCAAACATTTCAAGTGGCTAATAAAACATGAGTAAAAGTGAGTACCGTTGTGGGAGTCCATGTCCACCTCGTCTGCCTTTACATGTCTGGCTCTACTTTTTGGGGCTTCTATTTGATATGTGTGACATCATATCACAGAGGTGATGCTGCTTTTAGCAGATGAAGCCTGTTTAATCTCTCCCTAAACAGTGCAGCCATTCTCTTACTCTCCTAAATCATTTCACCACAGTGTTACCTGTCCTTCACAGACCCCCAGTAGAAGACATCCAGACAGTCCTGAGCCCGGTGGTGAGCTGTGGACCCCCTGGGGCCCTTTTGACCAGACCAGTCATCCTCACCATCCACCACTGCGCTGACAACGTCCAGGAGGACTGGTTCATACAGCTCAAGAACCAACTGGCCATGGGAGAATGGGAGGTAAGAGTGTGGCCCTTATGTGTTCACATTCTTTTAACAAAGATGTGATATACACAGAAAATAGGTTTCACATAAACAGTGTGTTTTATGTAGAAAGTTTAATAAATGATTACAATCAGGCACTCATGTATATTCAAATGGTTGTGTCATAGTCATCAATACAGTGTGTGCACATGCTGAGGAATACCTGAATTGCAAATATACTTTGTATGCACTGAGGGAGGGAAAAAAAAAGGACATAAAGAAGAGAAAACGTGGTAAACAGAAAGTGCCTACAGGCTTGTAGAAAAAAGAGGGGGGTGAAGACTCCTATCAGAGGCAATTTGTTATGCTCCTGCCATCCTCCTCTTCTCTCATCTCTCTTATGTTTTTATCCGTTCTTTTTCTCTGTCCTTTTCCCTCCCTCCTCCCATGTCTCTCAGCTTGAAGTCTCTACCTCAGCAACCTACTGCGTGTGTGTGTATGAACGCAATTGTGTGTGTGAACACATATGCGTGTGGTTGTGTGTGGGTGTGGGTGATAAGGCTGTCTTGCAGCATCGCTGTGTCAACAAGGCCCCCGTATGCTGTCCTCTGTTGCTTATCACAGCTCGACACAATGTCTCTGCACAATTAGCCATGCATAAGATTCAGTGTGTGTTTCTTAGAGTGAGGATGGATGAGAGACAGATGCGCAGAAGGGGTTTGGAGCAGAGTGAATAAAGACGAGAAAAATGAAAAGTGGAATTTCATCATGAAGTCGATTTGTTTTCCTGTTATTGCAGTAGAAACATCCATTTCCCATCAGAAAGTTTTCCCCAAAAACTGGGAGAGGGTGTAAATTGAATTCCCCCTCATATCTGGTTGCCATTACCAGTAATAACAGATTCAGAGCCTATCGCTTCCCTACCTCTTTGTATTGATTCAGATCATCTGTGTGAACTGTGATTTGGAACTCTGTAGTTGCATCAGACATGTGCATTCAGAACATCCATTCTGCAGTGCTGGGGCCTCCACAGACATGGGCTTACAATTATTCTCACACATACAGCTAATTAAAGATGCAGTAGCCAGATAAAAAGAACCTATTGAGCGTGTGCATCCATCCTGAACCAAAAGGGCTGTATTGATTCACCATAACTCAGATCATTAGAGAGTCCTGGAGAAATGACATGAACAGCAGCCAGCAGATTATCACCAAGGGACTGGACAGACTTCACAGATAAGCACTCTGAACATGAATTATCATCACCACCAAGAACATCTTGATTTACTTTCAGAAGTCCATTATACAGAGTTCAGCGTCCAAACTGGGAAATATTCATAATTGGTTGAGCCAAACATCCTATAAATGTCTTTTTAAGATAAAATACCAACACATGTGGGAGTTTGATGCTGTCCATAGTTCCATTAAGAAAGGAGTTAGAATTATTATATCCATTCTAGTTTGCAGGTATTATTACAGATGAATGCTGAAGTGACACTGAAAAGTACATGTTTACATCAACGGAATTAATCCGGTTTAATCCACCACCTTGATTACTAATCTGTTATTTCTGTCTGCAGGAAGTGTTCAAAACGCAGGTTTGGTAGTGTTGAGCTAACGGAGAAAACATGGCTTAAAGCCCAAAAACTTAGAAATAAAGCTGGCATTCAAATGACTGCCAGGTTTTGGCAATAGAAACCTGTATGCACAAACAAGACTCAAACAAACCTGAGAAAACAATCTGAACTGTTGATCCCTTTGTAAATTCACATGGATCGACTTTTTCAACAGTTTCATCATCATCAGTAGAGCATGTTTTACTGATATTCAACAGTATGTTAATCACTGTATGCTGATAAAGTTGGCTGATATCCTGTCGGGATCTCACAATAAAAGCCTTGTAAAACAGCCTGTGAATTGCTGAAGTAGTAAGTTATTTCCATTTATCGTTTCAGAAAATGCTTCCTGTGGGAAGGAATGATAGGCTGGTGCCTTAAAAGCAGTTTCTGTCAAAAAAAAAAAAAAACTCAGCCATTCTTCTATTGAGACTCACCTCATTATTTCCTAGGTGTTGTTTGAGAACCTCTGATGTACCACGCTTTATCCCCCATCAATAGTCTAGAGTGACGGTTAAGAAAAAAACGTGTGAATATTTTCTTTATGTGCTCTGGTCCCAACAGGATGTCGTTGTTGTTGGAGAGGAAAACTTCACCACCCCTTGCTATGTGCAGATGGACTCAGAAGCGTGTCACATTCTGACAGAGACTTTGGGGACTTACTGCCTGGTGGGTCAATCTGTTGGCAAGGCAGCCGCCAAGAGGCTCAAACTTGCTGTTTTTGGACCTGTCTCTTGCACAACGTTGGACTATCACATCAGAGTCTATTGTCTGGATGACACACAAGATGCACTTAAGGTAAAGAAACTTAAAGTTAAGCCTGGTAAATTATTTGCAAAGTTTTTTTTAAAACGCCTTTGTTCTTGGAGCTTGCATGCAGACCTTGTTATTCCACTTTTAGTATTAAATTCGAGCTATTTATGATTACAGTTAAAGCTATTGTATGAGCAACTTCAACGGTGAGGGTGTGCGATATCGAGTGGAGCGTGTTGCTGGCGAGCGAGCTGCCTCGTCCTGGGAGATATTGTGTTCTCACTCACACCACCCATGCTAAAATGCTTCCCTGTTAATTTGCATTTGAAATAAGATGTCGACAAGATTTAACAAAATCGTTTGTGTAAAGTCAAAAACAGAAGTTTCTTCACCTCTTGTCTCTTGGAGATGCATCGAGGAGTAGTAAACAAAACGGGGTCAAACAAAGTCAGTGTACAGATGCATTACAATTTAAACAAATTCCAAAGCTCTGAAGGAACCATCTGATATGGGAGATTAATGTTGGTAATTTATGCATGCGGTGATAAGTCAAGTGTCAGCAGGGCACCCAGCTATGCACACCATCAGCACATACAGTACGCTTAACCAGTTCAATAAACAGTTGTAGCTTGAAGGGGAAGTTCAAAAGTGAACTTGAGAAGGAGGAATAGATTACTTTTAAGAAGCAGGAGGCACAAAGGGCCATACTTGATATTTTTTTCTTTGACGTGCCATCATTAAAGCTGTTCAAGGAACTGAAAATGCAAGCTGAGCTCCGTGCAACTTGGAACACTGTTCTGTGACCAGATGAATCGAATGTTGGGACCATCTCGCTTGTTATTAGCTCTTATTTCAAAAGCCTACATCTGTGATTAAACAGGGATGCATTAGCGTCTGTGGAATTGGCAACTTGCTCTTTTAGAAAATATGGTAAAATATGATAACAATTACCCAGGGCGTCTGAGCAGCTAGAATCCTTTATCAAATGAGAATGGAACACCATTCTTCCCCCAGAGGGTCAGCAACTGGTCTCCTCATTTCTCAGAAGATGAGATAGTATGTTTAATGAAAAAAAGGGCAACATTTGGTGTTAATTAATCTGCAGATCATTGCACTGTAGCAGCATCTGACCTCTTTTAGAACAGCGGTTGTATGTCAATATTATCTAACCGTCAGTTTAATATTATGCACAGCCGTGTGTCTCTTATTACTCTCATGGTGAAGAAATAGTTGATAAACGAAAGTCATCTTTGGCAGGATGAACAGAAAAACCTTGTAGGACTGTGTATGCACAACATATCTGAAACAACATGGTAAAATATGTTATTTTCTTCCCTGCATAAAATTCTGAAACATATCCAATGAAGAGCATGAAGTTCACATTGAAAAAGCTTGAAACTTGCTCCAAGATCTTCAAGCCTTGGGTTGAAAATAGTTTTATATTTATTTATTTTAGTTTTATATTTATTTCTTAGGGTAGCAGTTCACCACCTTATAAGATTTATAAAAAGTTTCTTGGACAGTCTCTGCTATCAGTTGAAGTTCTTTGAGTTTATTCTGTTAAAGGTGTAATGCAGAGTGTTTTAGTGTATATTTAAGACATACAGGAAAATAATTTAACTGATCAACAGGCCGAACTCAATTTTTGTTGGTTGCCTCTAGTGATTTTGATACCCTTTTATAAAAGATTTGAAACACTGTTGTGCACATTATAATTAAACTGGCTTCTGAATTTAGGATAATTACATACAAACAATGTCGACCCTCTTTACTTGTATTTTATGAAAAAGTTGACATGCATGTTTTCGCTCGAGTATTGCAGCGCTGTTAATCAAACAGTGTTTCTGGGAATAAGATCCGTGCAGCAATGCTTCTCTTAAGTCGAGGGAAATCAACTGTGCACATGAGTGTTGATATCTCCATAAAAAGATTTCACGAGTTTCAAGTGGAAAATGGTTCATTGTCTATAGCAATTACGCAAGATACAGACCCGCTACAGTCACTTGTGCATGAAAAATAAATGGTTCGTGAGTAAAACTGAGCAGTGGCAAAGCTGAAGGGGATTTCAAAAGTGTTTTCTCTCTTAATGTGGGGCTGTCTGTAGGAAGTTCTTCAAATGGAGACCCAAATGGGAGGGAAGCTTCTGGATGAGCCAAAGACTCTGAACTTCAAAGACAGCACACATAATCTGAGACTGTCGATCCATGATGTGCCACACACACACTGGAAGAGCAAGCTTGTCGCAAAATATCAGGTGGGGGAATGGACACGCTGGGTCGATTACCACACTATCAAATATGACATAGTTTAGCAAATGTGACTCTCTTTGGACTGCAGTTGAGAATAAACTAAGTTGTGTAATATGTGCATTGTTCATGAAATCTAGGAGATCCCATTCTACCAGGTGTGGAGTGGCAGTCAGAGAAGTCTCCACTGTACCTTCACTCTGGAGAGACTGAGCTCAGCCACCACAGAGATGAGCTGCAAACTTTGTGTGCGGCAGGTGGAGGGAGAAGGACAAATCTTTCAGCTCAGCAACACACTGGAGGAGGTAAGCCTTGCATGCAAACATCCTCTACCCGTGTTACTGCCAGCGGTACAGCACATAGGAGAAATTACTTTAACCCCCACTGGACAAAGCCAGAGTAGGGTGACACATTCTTAAACTTAAACCAGCTCGAACGAATCTCACAGAGAAAGAGGGGAGTTCCTAAATTCTAACATTTCCTGTGGAAAATATTTAAAAGTCACAAACTGTCTTTGTCTGTCAGACAGTTGTGGTTCTTGACATGATTCTGGGATTCTATTCAATCATTCCTGCTACCGCTGGAGGTCACATAACACCTGAAGCATAATGTGTCTTGGATTATTCTTGACAGTGTCACCACAAAGTCAGGAAATATATGTTTTTGAACGAGTGGGCAGTTTTCTTTCATGGCGACCGGGTATTAGCACTAATCTTCAGACGTTTGAAATAGTCCCTGTACTCTCATTTATCAGCAGCACAATAAAATGTTGTATTATAACTTTAAAGATCACCCAAAGCTTTATTGGGTGCATTTCTTTGCATCTTATGTGTCTGTATCACCACCAAATGAGCTTTAGGGAACTTTTCAACAAAGCAGACACTTTCTGGCTTTTATTTCTAACTGATCTTTGAATTGTAGCCCTCAAAAGGCTGTAGATTCCTTTAATTTTGATTTGATGTGGGCTTTGATTGTCTCACATGCCAGTCCTACAGGTCCACTAGTGGGGGTGTTGTAATTTAACCTTGACACTAGAGTAGACAAAGTATGAATAGTTCTCCATGAGTTTGTGAGCAGGAATTGCCTATTGTCATTTAGATTTCTACACACACGTTTCTTCTTTTTCTTAACATATGCATTAGTGTGTTTTCTCCTTCATATCTCAAGATATTTTGAAACCTCATACCTGAAGAGCTACAAAAAAAATCAAAAGGTTACATAAAACTCTGTGGGGAAAGTACCTACATGCACTAATGTGATTCTATTCTAGTTCTTTATGATCTCTGAAAAAACAAAACAGTACCTCTGGATGTCAAGAATTTGGCACCGTGCCATGCTGTCAAAACAGTATGTAGTTATTTTCCCTTTAGCTAATTAAAAAAAAAGCGTTTGAAAGTTTCTTGTGCTTTCCATTCAATAAAAATTCAGTGTCCTTTCAACCAAATGTTGTAAGCCAATGGAACGTTAAACAAGGTTAAAGTATTTGTCTCAGTTGTTCCTTTTCATCTGGCCTGCAATCTCCAGCAGCAGTGAGCTTACTGCTGTAAATTGGGGCTAAGTAGATGCAGCGAATAGTCATCATTCACATCAGTAGTGGCAGTTGTTGTTTCCCTCTCTGCCAAGTCACATTCATTAGTCCACGGCCTCCTTTCAGCCCAGAAGTGGCAGATTAATGGGATGAAGATTTAGAAAGAGATGGAGATCGACAGCAGGAAGAAAGAGCTTTTTCCTGGTAGCAAATTTCTATGTCTCTTTTGCCCTGATATAAATAGGATGATTTGTGTATTCATTCACACCAAACACAAGATAGAGAAAGAAGAGTGTATTTTCCAATGTAATGTTTCAGGTGCATTTCGATTGGAAATATTATCAGCTGAGTTGCTGCATGGATGCATGCAGTAATCGGTAGATTTAATAATCAGAACACAGGGATCCACCCATCATGTGGCATTACTAAAAGTATATAGTATTGTTGTGTTCTCAGTACACAACTATATGCAGAAATCTTCCAAAACAAACTTTGAGTTCACTTATCTTCATTTTTTCAGGAGGTCCAGTGCATAGACACATCCCTGATGGACCCTGCCAGCAATATCACAACCTTAATGGGGCCTAATGCCTTCCGTATTCCTTTATCCATCAGACAGAAGTTGTGTGGCAGTCTGGATGCACCACAGAACAGAGGCAATGACTGGAGGATGCTGGCTCACAAACTCAACCTTGACAGGTACCACAGGTTGACAGTTGTTTTTGTTTTTTTTCATTTTTTGCTCTCTTTTTGTGTTTTGTTTGATTCAAATCATTAGAAGTGGGTGTGAATCGAAATGTGACACGGTGAATAAAATCCCGGCTGAAATAAACTAATCAAGTCTTAATTTATCATTAGAAGCACAAACACCAAAGGCTCTCTTTGAAAAATGACAAATGGAACAGTGTCATTGGATATAATGGCTTTTTGCTAAATATGTACCACAAAGATGAAGCTGGTACTCAATGTGAACACATTTCATTATCACAATGTGGCATCCCTGCAGAGACCCTGTAGAGAAAATGAAATACGGTTGCCACAGTCATAGTGTTATATTACCTTTTATACTTCAGTGTGACTCACAGGTAACATTCTTATTCTCGCCATACACAGATGTTTGTCTGCATGATTCAGTGCAATGGTTCATTTACTAGCAGCAACCGAACTGGAGCCAGATATGGGAAAGACAATGAGGCACAAAACAGGCAGCCAGCTCATGAAGCAGTCAGCTGATATGAGAGCAATAAATAACTGAGTGAACCAAACTTTTGTATAATTCCAAATATCTGCTCTCTTGGGTTCTCTTGAAAAAGGTCCACAAGAAAAGGCCATATCTATCCACTCTGGCTGATTTTTTCAAAACGTGACTGGGTCTTTGCTGTCTCAGTTACCTCTCAGAAAATAACTTCATATACCCGCTATGACAAACAAAATCAAACAGTTCTAACTTCCTCGCAACCATGCTGACACAGAACTGAATAACTGTTGGAAAGTCACTGACATGCAAAGCTGTTTAATTCACTAAGCAGCATTCACCTTATCACAAACTGCAGGCAGATGAAGACAAAAACACAAGACACAAAGTTAAGAAAGAAACAATGCATGTGAAGCAGTTATTAGATTATTTGTACGAAACTCTTTGACTAAAAGAAAATTTGACGGATGAAAAAAAAATCTGTAGGAAGGGGAACTGGCAGAAAGAAGCAGCGAAGTGATGGTACAAGTCTTTGCTTCTATTTAAACAGCAACAGAGTGTGCCAACAGTACAATCACAGGATTTACAGAAGAACAGAAAGTCTCATTTTCTCCCTCACAGGACTAAAACTGATTGCTTTTTGGACTTCAAAGCAGCGTTGAGATCTTGTTCAGAGATTGCTCAGCGTCAAACTTTTGCTCTGTTTTCACTGTTATTTGTGATTCTTGACGGCTGTATCAGCTAAATATTTGAGATAATTCCAGAAGTTTAATCGCCTCATCTGTTTGAAGTGGCTTGAATTTAATATAAATCATTGCAAATGATGTACATGTCCCTTGTCAAATTGTATGTTGAGAGCTACCCTGTCCATTTGATATCATGCAGTAATGAGTCAACCAAGAGTGCTTCTTTAAAGTCCTCTTCTTTTAAGCATGTCATCTTATCTGGGTTGAAGTGTTGAACTGACCCTCTTTGCTTGTCATTTCATAAAATCCAGTCTTTTATTTTTATTTCACCTAACAATGAAGATATGAATATAACATATTATTATGAATATAATATTAACTTGCAGCTTTTCTGACTACTTGAATAAATGTATAATACAGAGTATTTTTTTTAGACCTTTGCATAATCAATCTGATCTCGCTGGTGAGAAAGCTGACATCTGACATTGTACTTTTTATTTTATTATATAATGTACTTCTATCTAAATGTACTTATTGATCTATGTTTCAGACTCATTTCCCTTTTAAATGAGTGGTTGTAACCTTTGTGCCCACATTTTTACAACCTTAAAAAATGATATCCTAGAAAGATATAGATACATGCAAAGTCTTCTATGCTGTCAAATATTCATAAGTTTCACTCTTTAAATATACTTTTTGTATTTGTTTTTTCTCCAGGTATCTGAATTACTTTGCCACCAAATCCAGTCCAACAGGTGTGATCCTGGATCTCTGGGAGGCCCAACACTTCCCTGACGGAGACCTAAACGAACTGGCTGCTGTTCTGGAAGAAATGGGTCGTAATGACAGCACCCTCGCCTCCATGACAACAGAACACTGATGAAGCATCACGGTCCTTTCATACGGCAATTTCAAAATCTGTGGATGAATACATGTGGATTCTTTGGGGTTGATACTGCAGTTATGGCAATTAACTAATTATGAGCGAAAGAAATGAAGTCACCATGGTGACGAAACAATTGTTAGATGCCGTGGTAATTATGCCCCTACGGTCACGGAGACACCGAGAAGTGTTCAGACTGACCCTTAAACTATGCGTATATCTTTGTGCGTGTATTTGTGAGATGGTGAGATCACAGGAACAATATCCTTCCCAAATTGAAAAGAGCTGAACTGGAGACATTACGAAAGAACATACAAATGTACGCATAAAACGCTAGTGATGCTAGTTGTCTTCTTGCTGTTTCTTCAATACAGAACAAACAAGCAAAGAAAGAAAAAAGTTACTGACCTTGGAAAACTTTATAAGAATGGAACAGAATCATAAACAGAGAGAAGGTAAACGAATTACAAAATAGTAAGAGAAGGTAGACTGAGGACAAACAAAGAATGAGGTGGATTCCTTGGAGAGATGAGAGCAAACGCAGAGAGCAGCTAAACTGATTAGAAAAGAGAGGAAGGATATAAACATAAAATAATGGAAGCAGCAGCGGGTGATGATCTGGATAAAAAGCAGATAATGAGAGAAGAGATGAAGAAGTGACTCTTTCTTCAGCAGTAAGTGTTTGTCACAACGGTTTGTTGTCTTTATCACGTTTCTTAGGAAACGCTGTATGTATTCCACTGTCCATATATGTGGATAATTTCCTGCTACAGAATTCAGAGTGGTTATTGTTCATCAAGAACCCTGACCAGAAACAAGCCTGAGATCACAGGTGTCTCCCTTTGAATCATATCACTTCAATTCTGATGTACTAAAGCCTTTTCGGCTTTCTTTTGAAGTACATGTACATTTGAATCTGACAGGTAACTAAACACAAATAAAAACTGAGAATGATTTTCTTGCATACATGTAATTTTCTATAAAAACCAACTAAGAGGCCATAATACTTTTTGCTATGGCTGTGGAAACTGAGAATGATACATTTGACATAGTCAGAGAAGTGACAGATACAATAAGTTACAAAGATCAATTATTGTTGTGCAGTGAGTTGCTGATTACTAACATGTCTGTTTTGAGCCATTCTTTTTTTCATATTTTTTTTCAACTAAACTTTTTTTCGGATGAAAATCCAAAGTCAAGTATCATCAAAGTGTCTGTCCTGTTATCACTCCTGAGGGGCTGTGCAATTATGCTGGGTTGTGAGTCAGCCACAGCTCCACATCCTGTTGTGTCTCTGCTGAACTATCGCGGCTTGTTTCTGGACAGGGTTGAATGCAGAGCAACGAGTGACAGATCTATTTTTGAATCCAGTTCATTACAAACTATCATAGTACTATGTGCATAATCATAACCCATACACAAACACACAGACACACACATACAGGCCACTTTACTGGTCACTGGCACCATCCAGTGGCCTTCGGAGAATCACAGCGTTTTAGTTTGGATCATTTGAACTTTGTAAATACATGATTAGAATTTTTCATCCTAAAGACATTGTATGGGCGTAATATTTTTATGAACGATCATCATTGTCATCAACCTTATTTACATTATTTATCATTATACCGTGTCTTGGTGTGACCCGCAGTAGTGGTTACATGTCAGTTTGTCTGCCCTTCATCTCAATGTTCTGTCAGCAACTAACATTCCAACACGCAGTGTAACTGTTGAAAAACAACTTAACTCAAGGGGCCTATGTAAAATTAAGTGTATTATAGTTGTGTTTTCACAGAACAACTTTGCAAAGCAAGGCTGGATTAGCATTGACTTGGGTCAGCAGTGTCACTTGTAAGAAGGTGAAAGACAGCTTTATTTATAGTGGCTTTTTGAATATTTGTCAGATTTCACAGAGCAAAATTGACTTTGTTTATCATAAAAAGACAACTTATGTTTAGCTCAGAGGAAATGTGTGTAAAATATAAAAAAATGGAGTTGAGATCCTTTTGATTTAAAGTTGGAGAAATGCCATATAGTAACTGAACATCAGGTATGCATCAGAGATATAGAGGAGGGGAACGTATAAAGAAAAAAAAGAAAGGAAAAAGGAAATAAAAGGTTGTGTTGAAGAAAAAAGTCAGATTTCTACAAAGACATGACATATTTAATCCTGTGCTCACCCACATGGGAAAAAACCTTCAGCCATTAATTCCCCACACTGATTCGTCTTTGTTCAGTTGATGAGAAATGAACAAATACATGACCCAGACCTCCTGCACTGATACCAAACCAGATGTTAATTACACAGAAGCTTAAGAGTAGTTAAGCTTTGATTTGGACTGTCCATATTTGAGAATATCAAAGGAAAAATGTGGAGGATTTTATCAGTACAGTATTTTAACAGATTGGGTCCCCCTCCATAGTTAGTTTAAAAGAAAACCATGCACCCAACTTTGATTCAGGAACTCAGTGGCTTAATTCAGAGTCAATATTACCTATCGAACATGTTCAAGAAAACATGATATGATAGGCATAAAAATGGAAAATAATGCAACTTCAGTTAAACTTTTAACCTAATTTTCTAGAAGCAGGTTGGGCTTTGTTTTGTGGTGTTAAAGGGTGTTTTTCTTTTTTTATTGATAAGGATGGGAAAGGAGGCCTCCTGAGGGTGATCTTTCATGATGTGAAAATGAAGAAATTAGTATTAAGAGTTATCAAAGTCTGTAAAAATATTTTCTATATACAGTATGTACAGTTGTGTACTGTTGGCTATATTTGGCAAATTTCAGAATATAAAAAAGAGCAGTACAGTTAGATAATAGTTTATATGGTTGAAGTTTTTTGTTTTCTTTTTCTAAGTTTCTTTTTCCTGTTTTGTAAAAGCAGTGTCTACTATGCAAACTTGGCATTGGTTATCAAGATAGAAATCTATAACTAGAGCTGTCCTTGTTAGTGCGTTTTGATTTTATTATCATGTGTGATTTGATTTGATTTGATTAGTGTGGGATATTGTTGGTTCTTTTTCCTAACTCTGGCACGCTTGAAAAGTCTTGCTCAAACTTGCTGACTGCTTGCCTCTCTATCTCCTCTAATTGTTTTCTGTACAAAGTGTAAGAAAGAATTTTTAAGACAATTAATAAATTATATTTATAAGCAATGCAGAAAGGTTGTTGTGTCTCGGTGGCTTATTTAAAAAAACGTTAAAATTCTCAAGAAAGTGTTGGGAAATGAAAAGAAATTAATAAATTACATTAATACCTCTTTGAGACCCCAAAAGCAGCTGGTTGAACTGGCCGGTAGTCTAGGAAATATCTATGTCACCGCTTTTTATATGAAAATTGCTGTGGTCAAGTGTAAAATTAATACATTTTACTAAAGGAGAATGAAGTCTGACCTATCTGAGAGAAACCTCTTTTGTCCTTTCTAATCCCCTTGCAGGATTATTCTGTACTGAGATGGCAGTAGCTCATGAGGAAGAGCATTTGCGATGGTTTGATCACATGTAAGAGTCCTTTGACGGGATGCTGAACCCAACAATGTTTGGCTGAAAGGCTGAATGTGGCATGTTGTCTTTTTGTTTAGCTAGATAACGGTTATGAAAATAAAGTTTTCATACGCCTGAATTAGGACTGCATTGTCGGGAAGAATTTGTCAAGTATTACTGTTTAGTCCATTTATGTGTCAGAGTTTTATTGAGAAAAGAAACACATATACCATCAGACCCTTCATGGTGAATACACTTGAACATATAACCTTTATTTTTGCACATATAGACTTATTATAGAGATTGAGTTTTACATGTAAAACACACTTTTGCAACTTTAATTAGCCTATCACAACTCACATACAAATTTAGCATCTCTTCAGTGTCTACAAACTTTATCACCAGAAAAAATATATAACAGTAAAGCCTCAAAATACTTCTGTCACATAGTGTCAATCTTTGCAACCAAAAAAAGAAAAAAGCAGTCCATTTAAGAGTGACAAAAATGTGTTCAATAACAATATAAAGCCAGTAGTGGGGTGATAAGTGTTTAGAAAGGTTGCTTTAAAGCACATCCCTTCACTTCTATCAAGCAGACCTTCATCTACAGGTAGGATAGCTTTCACAGAAAGCACAAATAAAGTATTCCACTTACTGGTCAGTAGCCTGTTTGACTATCTCTGCAGCTACAACCTCATGTCAAACTCATCATCTTCTTCCAGCCAATTTGGAGCATTTAAACAGGGACCTAGGCCTGGTTTTAGAGCCTTGAAACTAATTTGAAATGATGTTCCTTCTATCCTCTTTGATGAACCAAACTGGGGCAATGACTGCTTTCAACAGGACTTGGGTTGCAGAGTTCTGGGCATTTGGATTCAGTTAGGGATCAGATGATCTCCTTAGATGCCTCTCCTTTTTTTCCCAGAAATGAAGGCTAATGTGGCCTGGACCAGAGCCAGTGTGATCAGTGCACTTTCTATGCACAGCTGGGCAGTGCCAACTCACAGCTTGATATCCTGTGATTCTGACATTTTGGCAAGTGTCTTTTTGACCCGTAGAGCTGTGAGGCGGCAGGCTGGGTTGTGGGCCCAGCATTCTGTCATCAGCTTCCCCATCTGTCTCAAACACTGAGAAGAAACAGACCTCTGTTACCGAGGGCATTTATCTGTTTGTTACTGTATAATGAAGCATGTTTTAACATATTTTACCTCATCACTGGTCCATCGATTTGGGAAGGATGGTCGAAGTTTCTTAATGCATACTACCTCCCTCATGTCTTCATAAGAGGGGTCTGTGGGAACTAACTCGTGATATGGTAACTGGTACTCTTCAAGGATTCCTGTGGCAAGAAAGTCACAGATAGAACACTGTTTAGATAAAGCTTGGCTTTTCAAAATAGTTTTTTGGGTCACAAAAAATAAAAAAGAATAGTTAAATCCATATAGTTCTTTATATTTACCTCCTGAGACACAACGTCGAGCGATCTCCCAGAGGATGAGTCCAAAGCTGTACATGTCGGCCATGATGTATGACTGAAAGTGGCTCCGGTTCAGCGTCTCATCCAGAACCTCTGGGGGCATGTAGCGCTTTGTACCGACTCGAGTGTTGGGAGGGATATCAACCTCATTTGTATCACTGCAGAGTCGGAGATCAAATTAATGACTTTAAATGAGAGATTACTCGGCTTTGGGCAAGACTGATTTCTCTCAAAACCATTTATGAACTCTTTTAAGCTAAACTTAATTCGACAAGGCATGAATTCAAATGAATAATGAAAGTGGAATCTTGTTGAAACATACATGAAAATATTACCTGATGAACTTTACAGCCAGTCCCAAATCGGCTATACAGCAGGTGCCATTTCTTTTAACCAGTATGTTCTTACTCTTCAGATCCCTGTGAGCAATAGCAGGTTTGCCCTGAGTGCCAAAGATCTCCGTGTGGAGGTGACAGAGCCCTGACACGGATGAGTAGGCCAAGCGCAGCATGGCCTTATTGTCCAGAGTGGTTGACTTGAGGTAGTCATACAGAGATCCGTTTTCATGGTAGTCAGTGATAAGATAGAGCTGGGTCCAAGAGCCAGTTCCTTTGATATCTGCAGCGATGAATCCTGTGAAGGGATGGGTAAAGGATGGAGGAACCACAGAGACAGCCAGGGAGTTACAATCTTCACATCACACTATTGGGTAATTTCTTTGTTTTTCACTACATTAACTGCAGTGGGTATTTTTAAAGGCATTCTCCTCATTTCGGAGATTGCTTCCTCATAAATATATAACTATGTAGTATCAGTTATGCTGAATGATAACGATAATGAAACTGAGCCGTTTAAAGAAAGGATTGATTATCCTTTCTTTTCTGGGTTCTGAGCATTTATCCTGTGAGTGATTCAATAAAAAGGTGATTATCATACTTTTTGTATGATTTCATTAACTACTGCTGGCATAAAATGATTTCTTTTTTTAAAGTTTTGCAGTATAGACATTTTAAGCTTGACTGTTTCCAAAGAAAATCCACCTTTGATTATTCAGGATTTGCAGTCAAAGTGAATGGACTTCTAGTTATAATGTTTAATGTTTGTTTGAGTGAAGTGTAGCACAGCATAATGGACACACCCCATAAGTATTTTAATCATGTTTGTTCAGTTTTACTTTGATTTTTTCCTTTCATTTTTTTTATTTCTCTTTAAAAAAAATGGATGCACCTTATCATTAATACTGAAAACAAAATTGTTTTAATTAACCTCATTAATCTTCCCTTCAATCCACAGTTAAATACTGATTGAGATAATTACTGCAATATCATTAAGTACTTTTTCATGTGTTTTTTATTCAAGCTCAGTTTTTTTCTTGCTTCAGACTAAAATGTATCAATTATTTTATTTTTTAAAGATTAAAAGTGGGGAAAACAGTCAAACCAAGAACGACACAGAGACAGAAAAGTCACAATAACAAAAATACATAATCCAAAGGCAGGGAAGAGAGAAACTAAACTCACCGAGAATGTTTTCATGTCTCATTAACACAGTTTGGTAGATTTCAGTCTCTCTGAACCAACTCGCCTCCTCGGTGGTGAAAAAAACTTTGACAGCCACTTTTTCTCCCCTCCACCTGCCCATCCACACCTCTCCATACCTCCCCTTGCCTATCTGCTTCACCATTTGAATCTGCTTGGCTATTGTTCTCTGGACCTGAGTGGGATAAAATGCAGGAAATGCTTCATTAAGGTCAGAGTTGTCAGTACAGAGATTCCACAACCACTGAACACAAAGATTTACATTGCATTATTCGGAAGTGGGTGCAGTGGGGTCATCTCACCAACAGGGGGAGCCCTGAGCCTGAACCAGAACTTTGGGATTGTTCTATCAGATCCTTCAGGGATTCTCCGGGAGGAATGTAAGTCTCATCCTGCTCAAGACTGATGCTGTACCGAGGTCGGGACTCTTGTCTCTTGTACCTGTAAAATAGCATTTTTTATGGAGAAGTGCCATGTCATGTCCTGGTAACACGTAGTAAAAAACACAGACTGCTATGGTGGTTCCAGAATAAAACAGTGTTGTCTGTTACAAATAGATTACCTGAAGTAGCAGAAGACGATAATGGCAGCCAATATAATACTGCACACGGTGACGGAAATCAATAATGCCATATGGTGGATCTTCCCATCGACATAGACTGGGATATGAAGAAAGAAAATTAGAAGAGAGAATGTCCAAGAATCAATTTATAACAGGCAAAATATGACTAAACATTTTGCTCATGGGTCTACTCTCAAGTCTCTTTCTGTTGTGTACAACTGTGTGATTAAAGTGCAGCATCAAGATGTCTTCATGGAATCACATAGAATCATTCTTTGCTCACACAATTGAGCCCAGATACACAATCTTCAAGGGTAAATACAAAATTCATGAAACCCCTCATAGAAAAAGAATTTTAGAATCCAGAAATACTTTCTTATACAATGGAGTTATCTTGTTAAGTCACCCTGGAACACAGTCACTCTGGTGCTGGAGTACAGTAAATCATCTACAAATCATATTTCACTCATTGATTTTTCATTTTCTCCTGGCAAACTCTTTCTTGCATCAAGACCCCCGTCAACAGCGTGAGGAAGCCCTTGCTCTAGTCGATGAATTCTCGTGTTCCCCTATGATAGAGTTACGGATTAATGACTGCCCTCAGCGTCTGCTCGGGCTTGCGATTTCCCCGGAATCTAGGCTCCCTGTTCCTCTCACACTCAAAAAGACTGTTACGCACACACACACACACACACAGCACTCTCTGACTATCTGACAAAGGCATGACAGTTCTGAATCGTGTGCTTTGACAACATTGCCGATTATGTCCACTGCCCTTATTATTGTCATCAACAACTGGCCAGAGCAGCGCAGACATTGGACTGATGACACACTTACGGGGTGGATTGAGCGGTGGCAGGGTGGGATGCAGGTATTTGTTACAGTAATCTTCATCTGTGCAGCACTCTAGAGATCTTCTGTGACGTGAGATGCCCGTATCCTGCGGAGAGAAAAAGTCATCAAACAGACGTGAGCTTGGGTTTTTTTTCTCTGCTTTGGGGATGAAAAACATTGTTATCTTTCTCCATAATTTTTGCTTTTCATCTATTATAAAAATAATCAATATTTTGACACGTGAAAAATGAATGAATTCAGCATTACCGGCAATGTGAATATGATTTGGTGCCCTTAAAAGTATCATAAAGTAACCTGGAAAGAGCTTATAAACAATGTTGAGCAGTGGTTGGAATCCCCTGCTTTGTACACTCACCCTACACTGAAACTCTGACCCAGCCAGCCCGAGGCAACCTGCAGTCTGGATGGACACACCTCCTTCCTCCTCGACCATTGTAAAACAGTAGCCATCGGTTCTGGGGGAAACACAGTAAGTAAAGCCATCTATATCAAATACGGGAAACAAATATGTTTATCTATCTGTGTGTGCATTTTCTGTATCCGTGCCTTTTTTTTCCCATATTTTACCTGCATGTGTTATTGGTTGAGTCTTCTGGGCAGTGGTGGTAACAGTGACACCACAGGAATCTCTGGGAGGATGAAGCGGGAGCCGTGCTGCCAAACGTTTCCTTCCCACTCTCCACTGCCTCCTTACTGGATGCTCTCAGCAGCATACTGTCCAGTATGTTGCCTGTAATCAAATAAGGAAGGGGAAAATAGGAGAGATTGAGCTGGGAGACAAAACACACTGACACGAATGCTCATTTCAGCATTCAGAAGGTAGATCTCCACAGTGGAAAATACAGAACCAAGAAGGCGAGAAACGCAGACTCTTCTATTGAGTGTAAAAAGGAATCTACGTTACTGAAAGATGTTTGCTATATCAATTCCAGCTTTGATTAAAAATATGTTTTGAAGTATTTAAAGTATTCTGAGATCACTGAACCAGCTACCTTATTGTATATTCCCATTTTAACTTATTTTCTTAAAAAATGTGCTATTACTCTGTGATTTGCAACTTTGGTCAGAATACGCTATAGATCATCTTGGGCCTGATACACACACAAAGGAAACATGCTCTTTACATGTACGTTATGGTAGTTTGACACTATGTATTTACATCTTTGCAGTTTATCAAGACACAATTTTGTCAAAATTGGTGTCTGTAGGTTTGTCTCATATGAAACTGGTGGAAACAAACAGGGAGTGAAGATGGCAAAGCCAAGATGTCAAATATTAAATTAGCAAACTCTACAGTCTAATAATGTCTAACCCGAAATATAATCTGCTTTACTGTGGTGTAGCGCATCAAATCCACTCAAATACAGAAAGATAACTTAGCCCTGCCAAAATCATATTGTATTGAGAAAAACGATTAAAGGCATTATGCCATGAAATGTGTTCTCAAAGCAGTTGCTTTTACTTTAAATTGATATAGCTGCTAATAATATGAACAAAGCATGTATATTCACTGGTTATCCCCTTTCAAAAGGACACCTGTTTTCCACTCGAGGGGGGGAAAATAATCACGGAAGTGTCTCGCCTCCACGGCTTTCAAGATTTGCATTCATTCCAGCAAGATCATTGATGGCAGATGCTTAACAGCTGCAAGCAAAAATGGTCCAAAGCAAGTACTGAGTCTTTCCTCTAAAATAAACTCTTCCTCCTATTTCAGCCCCATCCATTTTCAAGTTTCCTTTCCAGTGAAAGCCTATTCTATTTGCAGAATTTCAATACTGCCATGGTACAAATGTCGAAGAAATTCATTGTAGAACATTGAATACAGTCAGTCAAAGATTTATTTGCATGAATACTGTTCTGTTAATGAGATTTCACAAGCAATTTGTAATAGACTAATTCCACACGATCCACAATACAGTAAATCCATTTTGACAATGAATGCTTTGAGACGTTTTATAGTCTATTAGATGCTGTTATCAACTATCTATCAGCTGGAGGTGACTTATTTCATCCTTCACCTTCCATCTTCCTCAGGTCACATTTCAAAGTGTCCTGGCACGGAATCCCTTACTGCTCCCCATATATTCTGTATTTAAGGTTAACTCCGCTTGCTGCTGATTACATTTTGAAAGGGCTAAAAGCATACATTACTGATTACATTACTGAAACATTAATTAATGTATGGTGACATATTATTGAGTACCATTAAAATGTATGCAGATGCACACAGGTTTTGTTTCATCTGCTTATCTGTAACTCTGGATTGTGTTTTGTCACTTTTTAAATGTATATTCAGAGAAAAAAGGCATTTAGTTCTTTGGATTTTAATTAAAAGAAAAATTAGGAAAGTTTTTAAATTAAATGGTGATGTGTTCATGCTCATTTATGTCATTGGTGCTGACTGACAGATTTCAAGTATACAGATAATTGGAAAAATACTGATAAACTAAGAATTTACAGCACATAGGATGCCAAAGATATTCCAAGAGCTCATGAGACAAAGTATTAATGTATCAGTATTAATGAGTCCCTTTACATCAGTCCCGTTTCATGATAATACAAAAATAACAGATTATGAATGTGAATTTTCATTCAGAAAGCGTCCACACAAGTGACCTCTTTCAAGTTCTATCTAGCACTTTCAGAAGTGTGCAATCCAGCACTTTGCTTTGTAAAAGTCCCACTTGTACACAGATAATGTATTGACGAATCTGAAAGAAAAGGGGCGGTGGGGTTTAAAGGGGTCACATTAACAATTGACCGATTTGAGCGAAAGGGAGCGAGGAAGAGTAGGAGGGGGAGAAGAATAGGGGATTAACAAACAAGAAGTGACAGAGCTGCGGGGAACTGGTGGGCAGTTTAGCAGCACACAGAGGGGACAGAGCAGAGGCCACTGGCCTTTTCCACCCTTTCTCTCACTCTGCCCCCTCCCTCCCATCACTCCATCCCACTCCCTAATGCTCACTCACTTTGTGCTTCATTTGTTGCCAACTTCTTCCTCCAGCTTTCCTTTCTTTAGCCTTTTTCCGAAGCTTTCCTGCTAATATTCATTAATTGAAGGAACATTCAGGACTCTTTATCCCATCATTTAGACCTCCTTAGATTCTTTGTTCCGCTACTTTTTTTTTCTCTCTTCAACTTTATTGTTTAATGCAGTCACATCCCGTTTCTCTTTTCATCTTCCACACTGCCAGATCTTTCCAGTGGAGTGGACGGCACTGGATTGTCATGTGAGGTGCCGCTGTGCTGTTGACAAAACATAAAGCCTTTCACATCCAACCTGCACCTGGGATCTTTGGCTGCTACTCTGAGTGAGCGCGAGTGTGAGTGTGAATGTGTGCGTTCGTGTTCTAGTGAGAATGTAAGTGCATGTGTGTGTTTGTGTATTTGACAGAATTACTGCGGGACCGAAACAAATAAGGAGAGCGGCTTTTTTCTATCTTAATTTAAGAAATCACTTTACATTTTAAGGTGAAGCAACCAAAAAAAGCGATGAATGAATCTGGAAACTTTCGTTCAGCTGCTTCCACTTACTACATTTTTCATTCCTGTGCGTCCTTGATTTTACAAACATTATACGACATAACTGTGGCTTGGTCAAATGACAAAATGTTAACTGTTGTTTGCATCTTTGCATATGCCAGGATACAGTATTTATTTAATTTGGTAACAAAGATGCTAAGTTTTCATATAAAATATCACCTTAGGGCTCTCTTTTTGTTTTGTTATTGTTTTGTTCTATTTCTAATTATTCAGATATTTAGTTTTTCTGTGTCTATGCACACTTTCTAGAAGCAGCCCGGGATGCATCACAAGTCTATGTGAAACTCTTCAAATCGTTGCCCATTTTAAACTTATTTGTCATTCATTGAAGTTTGTTATTCTTTAAGGCCTTTCAATTATAATATGTTGATGTCTTATAAATGTCTTTTTTATTAAACAGTTCCTGTTACATCTCTCTTTGGGAGAGCTGTGTGATGTTTAAGACCGGAAGAAGACGTTTCTGCAATCTCATCTTTCAGTTGGTTAAAAAAAAATTGATGTAATTTGAGGGATCAAGCTTTATTTATTCTATCTATTAAGTAGCACACGCATAAACTGATTTGATGTTGCATCAAATTGGCTACCTTTCACAGCACCTTGCCGACGCCATAAATGTTTCAAGCCCTTTTACTAAAACAGCTTTTCAGATGGCAGTTCAGGCTTTCAGGTCTCCCCAACAGGCCTTTTTTGGCTTGATGGCAGGATATGGGGGCCACTGTCAACATGAAATTAACAAGCATGGCCCCTCAAACCAAACACTTTGGCCTTTTCTTTTCAACAGATGTAGCTTTGTGCAAACTGGCACAAAAAAGAAAAGAAAAAGATTTTTAGATAGGCCGTGGAGATGGACACGAGGGAAGCGATATTGTGCATGAGAGAGCAAGATGAACAGAGAAGATCTGGGGTAAGATAGACAGACAGAGGGGAGCAGAAAAAGAGGGAACATATTCATTAGTTATCCTGACCATGTCAAACAAGGCCAACCAGAAAAGCCCTTTCATTGAGTCCATGTAAACACTGCCGGCCTCCCCCTTCCACTTAAGACACACACATTTGACAACACTGCTCCCCTTCTGCCCTCTAAGTAGCAGTTCATCTTCCAGGTGTTTGACACGCTCTGTACGGCAAAAGAAACATGGTTCTTTTCTTTTTCCTTCTTGCTCTCACTCCTCTTAAGTTTTAGAAACTGTTTTTTTTTCTGTCTACGGTTAAGTACATTCAGTTCCTGCTCTTAACTCCAAGGCCGTCTTCCTGTCAGTGCTGAGATGAGCCGAGCCATCCCACATGTGCAGGAATGCGTTAATGAACCCCACTTTCTGATGCTGGGAAGCCAAGGTTGCATGACCCACTGTTTTGGCTATATGCATGTGTTTTGCCTTCAACTATGCAACATACTTCTCCTTCACACATATTCCTCCTTTAATAGGGTTTTCTGGCCATCATAAGTTTTTCAATCAATCGCAAAATCTGTCTACACTCTTTAAAACTAGCTTTTAGTACTTCGTGGCAAATCTGCTTGTTCCATAAAGTGAAGACCTTGGAACTTGAGGGCGAAGATTATGGAGTTATTTGTTTTTTTGACTTGACTGTTTCATTTGCATCCCTACAACTTAGACAAGTCACAGTAAAGCTGCTTTTGAAACAAGAAGAAATGTAAGAACTTGGATAGCAATAAAGGCCTAAATGGTAACTGACATTTAATTGATTTAAAAAAGCTTTTCAATCATCCCAATGAGAAAACTATCAGACTCATCTATGTGACTAGTTTTAAAACTAGAGTTGGGTAAAATTCATGGGCAAAATACAGCTTACAAAATCAAATAAAAAAAATGTTTCCCTGAAGGGAACAGCACAAAAAAATCCAGCGCTACACAAGAGGTGAGGGGACACTGTGGCATTCAGCCCTCCTTTCCTCCAACACAACATTGTCAACAGTCTTCCTTCAAGTCTTCCGTCATTATGTCATGCTGATGAATGATGCAGTAATGAGGCAGTGCCACTCTTTGCTTATACAGCTGTCATCCACCAGCTTTGTGCTTCAACCAGTGGAGTGTGTGTGAGTCTATGTGTGAGTCTGCATTTGATGGAGATGGGTGACAGACACACAAGGATGACAGAAGAACTCTTAAATATTCCAGATGCCTCTCAGTGTTCAGTGCTGGGATACATGGGAATGATGAAGCAGTCCTTGAAGGAGGTGTGAGGGAACAAAGCTAAGAGCGAAAGAGGACCAGCTGGTCTCTTCATCAAAAGCTCCTTTCCTCCCT